TCTTCAAATTTTGATGGTATCAGATTTTGATAAGATAAGTTCCGAGCCTTGTGCATTTGTGGGACCCTCTCACGAGTATACGGTATCTGTCGCACCTCGAATTCGGGTTTTGGGCCATGATAGATTTAGTGGTATCAGAGCTTAGGTTTAAATTAAGAGTTTAGGATTTAATTAAGCACCTCCAGATTGAGTGGTATTGAGCTTAGGTTTAATTAAATACCTAGGATTTGTTTTGGACTTGGCTAGCCAATAGATTTTAAAACCGTGGTGAAACGAGTGATGGGGTTATACAAGGGACGATTTTGATTTATGTTACCTGAATTTCTGATTCACTCTGATGAGATGGTAATTTAGTTAGCTCTTGTTATCTGCCTTTGATGAGGGTTTTGAAATTAATCTTGTCCGCCATGTTCTTAAGACCTTGTTTTGAAACGTGGTCATTTTCTGATAGTCTGCACTTGTTTAGACTTGTTACCTGAATAGAATTTTTGTATGCTCTTCTGCCACCATTGTAAAATCTGGGGAGTTGTAGAGATCTTTTGTAATTGATCTTGTTGGTCTCTACAGCATAGCTGGTTGAGAAATTTGTTCTATTTGTCACATGACCAGCGAAAGATGGGAAATCCTCTACTTTGTAAGAGATTCAAGGCTATTTTAGTAAATGTTGTGTGTTTTCTAGCTGCATTTTAGGAGCTGGATAACTTGGTAATTTCGCTGCTCATTAATTTTTGAAAGTCTTATAGTGAAATTTCACTTTTTCCATTTGGAGCTTCACGGTCTTTTCATGTGGCTCATTTTTCTATAACGGTTAATAAAAAACAATGATCAATTCAATTGAAATTGCCTCGTTTTCATGAAGATTGGCAAGTTGTCATAAAGTTAAACTCTCTATTATTGCTAATCTTTACATTCTTGATACCTGGAAACTGCTTGAAACTCTTGAAATCCATCTTGAATCTTTCTTGAGATTGCTTTATACTTGTTCTTGAAACTGAAATCCAAAAATGAATAATGATTATTGAAATCCTCATTATCTTGATACTTGTGCGAAATTAATTCTTGCACTATTCTTGGAATCTTATCTTGAACCTTGCCTGGAGTAAAGTCATGTTAGCATTCTTTTCTTGAAAATCAATTGATATTTGGTTTTTGGAATCTAGTTTGAATTGTCCTTGAGAACCATTCTTGTCCTGACTCTTGCTCTTGCTCAAATTCTGTATACTGCTCTTGCTCAAATCCTGCATATTCTGCTAGTTCTTGTTTTAGTATACCTGTTGATCTTGATTTTTAAGTTCTTATGGATACCTCTTAGGAGGGGTGACGATTATTAGAAAATACCTATATAAGGCATCCTGGTTCCTGTCTCTTGCAAGTGTTAATCTTTGTATTCTTGATGTCTTAGCTTTGACTTGACTCTAGGATGTCTAGGATGACTTGATTGTAAATCTGCTTAGCCTCCATGGGCTACAAGCTGAAGGGGTAGTTTTTGAAGTACCTGATGCCCTAGAGTTTTGTTCCAAGAGAAATGGTTCTTATTATTTGGCTTTTTGTTTGCCCTTTTAATTAGAAGACATGAATCTTCTAAGCATCTTGATCCCAGCCATTTCTTTGTTCTGTTAATTAATTCGTGTTACTTGGGGTGCTAGATCTTGACATCCTAGTTATATCTGCTCTTGAATCCGTGTTCTGGTTGTCATTATTGAAATCTCTTTTGTGGGTCTAATCCTTGAATTTCATTGCTTGTTTCATGGTTAACTCTTGTCTCTCAATTTTGATTGCTTGGTTAAATTTGATCTTGATTCTTGGTGAATGCCATTTTGTTGCTGAATTTTTAAGGCATTCTACCTTGCACTCTTATGTTTCAGTATTCTTCCAAGCATTCATATTTTCCACTAATTTCATTCTGATGCTATTTTGGAAATTTCACGTCATGTGATGGGTCTAGCTTTTAACTCTTGTTAATTGCTAAAATTTGTCTCTTGATTCTAGTTGTTTTGTTAAACATGATCTTACTTATTGGTTAACCTTGTTTTGTGGTAGAATGTATAAGGCATCTACGCACTTGTTCATTCATTCATGATCCATATATCCATATATCCATTGGATGCTTATCTGTCTTTGATAGAGTTCAAAATTTTGTTGTACTTGTCTGTAAATCCATGCCATTCTTTGCCAACTCGTTTTGTGTTGGGTTCATAACGTAACCCCACAATTGTTCTTTTGTGGCTTTGGCAGGATTTATTTTTATTTCTTGTGCTTCCCATATCACCCTAACCTCTAGTAGCTTGTTTCATGGTAAACCCTGTTAAGTAGTCAGTGTTCTGCTTTTTAAGATTAGTTGTGGTTTGTTATCAAAGTGGCGCAACGGAAGCGTAATAGGCCATGTTCTGTTTATAAGAGTTGGTGAGGCATTTGTTTTGCCTTGGATTGGGTGAAGCCATTCACCACTTGGAACGACCCTAGATTCGAGTTTTGGGGACAAAACTCCTTTTTAGGAGGGGTGAATGTAATATCCCAAAATTTTGTGATATTTTAGCATTAAGTTAAAGACTAAATTGTGGAAAAATATTATTTTGGGCTTAATAGCCAAAATTTCCAAAGTTGAAAGACTTAAAAGAGAAAGTGAATTGGATAAGGATCAACTATTTTCTTTTTCCTTCTTTCTTCTTCCTCACCCGCGTGTCTGCTCTTCTTTTCTTCTCCTCTGCAGCTGAACAAAGCCCCTAAGCTGTTGACAGCCCTCCCTTGAAGAAAAACCGATAAAAGCTTGGGAATTTCTCCTTCTTTTCTTGCTCTAGAACACAAATTGAACCCAGAAATTCCCCCCCCCCACTCCCTGTAGAAATCCGGATCTGCTTTGCTCTGTCCGTCTGGTTGTTGCTCTTGCCGGTTTGTGGGTGCGAATTCTGGGCATTTTTAGGTAAGAAACAGCCATGATTTCATCCTTTTAACTTTGATTTAAGTTGGGTTCCTTTAATTTTGGGTTAATCCCGTGGGTTCCCTGCAGAAATTCTCCTGCACTGCCGCCGGCCTCCTCCCCAAACTACAGCTCCAGTTCTGCTGGCTGGATTTATGGTATGTGACAGCCCCCTTTGAGCCTAAAATCATCCATTAGTTGTTGAATTATCCATGTAGTGGCTGCCCCCGTG